CAAATGGAAAGTTGGAAATGTCTTAATTTACAACTAGTCTGATACCCAATCATAAAGAGGCCAGGTGAGACGGCAGCTCTCGAGGACCCGGACCAAGAAGACCAGAGGACCAGAGGACATTAACCAGGAGTGTTCCAGCATCTTTTTTTTTGGAGCACTTTCAGGCACAGACTGATCCAACCCCTGAGCCTCAAAACGCTTTGCAGGCTCATTTATACCATCAGCCATCAGACACCATAACGCCACAGCACCCATTACCTCCAACCACCTCAACCACAGCTCCCAGTACCTCCAGCCTCAACAACCACAGCACCCAGTACTTCCAATCTCCACTAATTGAGACTGCTAACTATTAAACTGTTAAGCACAACTCTTTTTCTCGCACAATACCTTGAAACATTGGACATGTACAGTTATACCGTTATACATAATTCCACTTTATTTTATATAGTGTGTGTATTTATTATGCTTTTATCATATTTTATTGTATTTTATTTAGAGACAGCAAAAGTCGACATGTAGGACTGAACACATTCTTTCTGTCACTGTCCAAAGGTCATGGCCATAGATAAGGGTTGAAATGTAGATCTACTGGTAAATCCAAAGCTCTGCTGTGACGCTTTGATTTTATAATCTTAATTTGCTCACTGCTTCTGCTCCTTATTTTGGCACTCTGTCTGTCTGTCTTTCTCTCTCTCTCTCTCACTCTCTAAGTATCCTGAGATAACTTCTGTTATGAATTGGTGCTATACAAATAAAATTTAATTGAATTGAATTGTCGCTGCACCTTTACGTAAAAGAATGTTTGCAGGAAATGAGACGGATAGATAATTGTGTGTTTAGTGATTATTATAAAAATGTTTTAGTGATACCTCACTTATCAATGAGAAATACACCTTTTTTATTTTATTGCAAATAAGAATTTAGACTATTTTATTTCTTATTTTGAATTGAATATTATGTATAAGTATAATTTTCTAACTTAGATACATATTAGGCCCATGTATCTTTCAACAATTCCTTGAATATGTTTTCAGACCACTATTGAGGCTACTTAATGTCTAAAATGGAATAATATCAGCTTTTATAGAATGCGTTCTTGTTTTTAATTACATAACAATTTCTCATGTCAGTATTATTGTATTTCATTTTGATGAGCACCTCTTTATAATTTGTCACAGTATACTTTTTTTGTTTTACAATTTCAATCTTTTATGGGAGTGCTATGACTCTTTTAAGCAGGATGGAGTATCACCATTCTGCACCACATGAACAATTTGACTAACCCAAAATGAGTAGCACTACTAGCTCAGTCCTTGCAGTAACCATAAATGTAGCAACACCACAAGCTCTTACTCAATAGTTCCTGTAATCACTGCCGGACATAAGAGCAAACTCAGATCAGATCAGTTTATTGTTTGTATCAAATACAAAGTTCTACAACAAGTTATATTTTGTTTGTGTGAAAAGTACTGAGGTGGTCCAAGGAGCTCATTAGGAGGCCTTCCTTTGGAGGTTTGCTGGAGGGATTAAATATCTCTTCTGGCCTGTGGTTACCTCAGAAGGAGGAGCTGGTAAACGTTGCTGGGGAGAAGGACATCTGGTCTACCTTGCTTAGCCTGCTGCCACCGCGACCTGAACCCGGATAAGTGGAAGAAAATTGATGGATGGATGATGAGATAATTACAGTTGTATTCTCACAATTGTACTATTGTATTGTTTCTTAATTATTTATGTGTCTGTAACAGGAACCAGTATGCCACTGTGCAAGAAGTATGCAGAAACTGATTACAATCAGTGCCCATTTCTCTTTCACACAAAACAAAACTTTATTTCCTGTTTGTCTCTGCTGCATACACAAAATGTCCCTTCTCAGTGAAATGCTTTATCTTAATCACTGGTTAAAAACTGACAGCATGCAGAACAGCAATATAATTCTCATGATATCATTCACAGAGTGGTGACCTGAGTTATTCAGATCCCCAACATGAGTTGCTGTGTGATATTCAGTTAGCATTAGATTCTGTGAACATGTAGTTGTTGATTTTCTCATCGTCCTGTAGAACACTGTACGATGCTTGAAATAAATACGCTTGTCAAAAAAGTCTGAAAATGTTTTTAAAATACTGCAGCGTATGTTTGAGCATGAGCATTTATAAAGAATATGTTGGCTCTCTCTTGCAGTCAAGGACTGACACTAAGAGTAAAAGCCAAATTCAGTGTTTTTTTCCAGCAGAAATTTCTTTACATTTTGTCAAACTGGCATTATTATTATTATATTATTATTAGCTATTCCTGTTTGTTATATATGGATATACAGACAACTATCACTGGATTGTTAGTATTCTTCTATGATATCAGCAGTGATGGGAATAACGGCGTTATAAATAACGGCGTTACTAACGGCGTTACTTTTTTTCAGTAACAAGTAATCTAATTGATTACTCTTCCCATCTTAATAACGCCGTTACCGTTACTGCCAAAAAATGCAGCGCGTTACAATAATTGAAGCTGTTTTTTTCATCAGACCAACTAGATCTCTGAGCCGTGAGGCAAAAACTTTTTTTTACTGTTGTTCCTTGTTTAGTGGGCAGTGCACGAGACAAACGCATAAATGCTGACGATTGGCTGAGGTTGAGTAAAATTTCATGGTAAGCCAATCAGAGGTACAGTTGGTCGGTGTTCGAAAGCACGCATAGTCGGACACACAACGAACAACACAAGCGAGTCAGTCAATGAGAGACAGGTATGGCGAGCCCAAATAATCAAAAAGTAGCCTTCTCTAAATGGAAGTATAGCCATTACTTTTCACTCCAAGAAATCAAAGCAACAAATGTCTTCGTGAAATGCACATTAAGCCCTGGGCAAAAGTTCCTATCCACGTCGGTGTCAAGTAATTCAAACTTACTCAAACATCTTTCAACATTGCATGCTTCCACGAAATTAGTGGCCAAGACCACCGAAGGAGAAGGAGACAGTGCCACAAAACCCAAGCAACTGAAGCTTGATTTTAAGGCCCTGCCACCACATGTTTTGTCTCAGACGGAACTGAACAAACTGGTAGCCAGGTATGTAGTGGAGAATATGCTGCCATTATCTACGGTTGAGTCGGACTCATTAAGGGCACTAGTTGCCAAAATACCGGTCAGAGGAGGGGTAGCCCTACCGTGTAGAAAGACGTTTTCGAACTATATAGATGCCCAATATACTCAAATGAATGTGGAGCTCAAACAAACGTTTGAGAAGTTAGAATATGTGTCTACCACAGCAGACATATGGACTGCATGTAACAAGAGCTATCTAGGCGTAACAGCGCATTGGATAAATCCGCAAAGCATGGAGCGAGGTGAGGCAGCCCTGGCACGCAGGAGGTTCAAGGGACACCATACATACGACCAAATTGCAACAGAGCTTGATCATATCTACTCCTCATATGGGATATCATTAAAAATCAACACAACAGTCACAGATAATGGCTCAAATTTTGTAAAGGCCTTCAAAATGTATCAGCTAGTGGAGCGGGATGACTCTGATGATGACGAGGATGAGGTGACGTTTACTGACATCAGTGAGGCCTTGCAGACCCGTGTTGTTTCTGATGATGATGGTGGTGATGAAGATGATACTGTGATCACGTTGCCGCCACATCAGAGATGTGCGTCACACACCCTGAACCAGCTGGTTTAAGTCATATTTATCAGATCGTTCACAGGTTGTACATGTTAACGATGAATCTTCAATAAATACTACAGTTAGTCATGGAGTTCCACAAGGTTCTGTACTTGGACCAATACTATTTACTTTGTATATGCTCCCTTTAGGCAACATTATTAGGAATCACTCCATTAACTTTCATATTGTTACTCTAGATGGCATTACCTTGGCCTCTAGTACCACTGACAGGAATCTTGGAGTTATCTTTGATCAGGATTTGTCTTTTAATTCCCACATGAAGCAGACCTCTAGGACTGCCTTCTTTCATTTACGTAATATTACAAAAATTAGACACATCCTATCACAGACAAATGCAGAAAAACGAATCCATGCATTTGTTACTTCAAGGCTGGATTACTGCAACTCTTTATTATCAGGTTGCCCCAATAAGTCCATTAAAATGCTCCAATTAATTCAGAACGCTGCAGCACGAGTACTGACAGGAACTAGAAAATGAGATCACATCTCTCCTGTACTAGCTTCTCTGCATTGGCTCCCTGTAAAATGTAGAATAGAATTTAAAATTCTCCTCCTCACCTATAAAGCTCTTCATGGTCAGGCCCCTTCATATCTTAAAGAGCTCATAGTACCCTATTACCCCACTAGAACACTACGTTCTCTGAATGCTGGGCTACTTGTGGTTCCTATAGTCTCTAAAAGTAGAACAGGAGCCAGAGCCTTCAGTTACCAAGCTCCTCTCCTGTGGAACCAGCTTCCAGTTGTGGTTTGGGAGGCAGACACCATCTCCACATTTAAGAGTAGGCTTGAGACATTCCTCTTTGATAAAGCTTATGGTTAGGGCTGGATCAGGTGAGTCCTGAACCATCCCTTAGTTATGCTGCTATAGGCCTAGACTATCGGGGGATTTCCCATGGTGCACTGAGCTCCTCTCTTCCTCTCTCTCTTTCTGCACTCATTCATGTCCCATTAATGCATGTTACTAACTTCACTTCTTCCCCGGAGTTCTTGTGCTTTCTCGTCTCGCAGGTTCTTATCGATCCTGGTGGAGCCTCCTGCCATGGTCCTGCTAGATTGCCATTGCCAATACTGTTGTGGCTGTGCACCAGTCTGTCTGTCTGTCTGTCTCTCTCTCTCTCTGTCTGTGTCTCTCTCTCTCTCTCTCTCACCCCAACTGGTCGAGACAGACAACCACCCACCTAGAGCCGAAGGATCTGTCCTAGGTTTCTGCCTTTTAACAGGCAGTTTTTCCTTGCCCTCGCCAAGGTCTTGCTCATGGTGGTACTGTTGGGTCTCTGTAATTAATGTTTTAAAGAGTTGGTCTAGACATGCTCTATTTGAAAAGTGTCCTGAGATAACTTCTGTTATGAATTGGTGCTATACAAATAAAATTGAATTGAATTGAATTGTGAATGCTTACAAAAGTATTTCCATAGAAACTAATGGTGCAGTGAAATCACACTCACAAATGGTTTATCCTCTTTTTCAGAACATGCTGCAAAGCTGAAAGAAGTGGAGCAGCAGAAGTCTGAGTTAGAGAGGCAGGAGACTACATCGATCATCTCAGGGTCACAAACTCATTTCTTTAATCCTGCCTCCTCAAACATCATCACTTCTGTGAAGTTGGTGTTTCCTCATTCCCAAAAACCAAACTGACAACACATTTCACGTGATGTAGTGGGCTAAAATAAGTATTAGGAGCAGCAGCAGGAGACTGAGGAGATTATATATAAACCTTTATTTTATCAGGTAAGTCCCACTGACATCGAGATGTCATTTTCAACAGAGACCTGAGTACATAAGTGTTTAAGTACAAACAAAACTTATAAGATAAAATATATAATCTTATATATTCTTAAAATATATAAGATCAGGTATAAGGGAAGATAAGGAATGGATAGACTGTATTGATCCTGTCAACATCAGGGTGGGATTTAATTATGTCCCCCGTTGCTGGACATCAGCTGTTCCTGGTGGGATAGGTGACTGAGAGTGGGCGGACTGAGGATCTTGATGGACTCAAAGGTTCATCCATAGGTTGAGACATAATTTGTGTTGAATGGCTGATGTGCAGTGAAGTTGGCTGGTGACCAAACCTGTCTAACTTTATAAAACAAAAACACACCTCTGTTGAGTAATGCTGTCAGTTCATTAAGTGAAACCAGTCTGTCACAGTGTAGTATGAGGAAATAAACTCAGTGCCCATTCCTTCTTCACTCAACACAACACTTAATTTCTGTAATGGCTCATATATATATACATTAATATATATATATCCTCATTCTGACAATGGCTGAGAATAAATCATGTGAAATGGGGATAAGGAAATATTCTGTCTGACGTCCACCTCCCTCACCTTCACGCCTCTTTTTGCTGTACTACATAAACCTCACACCGGTCTACAGAGGACACAGTTCACCTGTGTAAGCTGCCAGTGTGACAATGAAGATCTCTGTGATTTTCCCGTTGCTGCTGCTGGTCTGCTCTGGCTGCACTGATCAGAATAAGCAGATTGCAAAGCAACAGCCTTTTCCACAAGACATCAATGCTTTGCTGAGAGAGATGACCGCTACTTTGACTCAACAGAAGTTTGAGATGAGATTGCTGCAAAGAGAGAATAAAGGTACAGTATTATGTCGGGTAATGAGAGAAGGAATAACATCAGGAACCCTTCCACTGTTGTTTTACAAGGGAATCAATATCATAGCAGTTCATATCCAAAAGCATAGAAAGTGCAAAAAAAGTATTCAAAACAAATCACATTAACAAGTTTATTTCTCCTCTTTTTCAGAGCATGCAGCAAAGCTGGAGCGAAGGAGATGAGTTGAAGAAGCAGGAGACTGAGTTAAAGAAGCAGGAGACTGAGTTAAAGAAGCAGGAGACTGAGGTTGACAAGCTGAAGCAACAGCTGAAAGGTACTGTGTGTGTGAAATCATCATGTTTGATTATTTGTATACCAAAAATGTAATGTATCTTTACAACGCCAATACTACTACTGTGTGGTATAAAATGTAATTAACCAGAATATTACTTACTCTCAAATACCATAATATCAAGTATTGAAACTGATAACTGCTGCCATAATTAGTACGTGCATGTATCGGAGAAAGTGTTTATGATTTCTACCAGCTGCTTCTGCTCCTTTGAGATTTATAGGACATTTCATTTTACAAAATTCAATCATGATGACCAACTTCTTTAATTTCTAACCTATTTAAAGTTGTATTTGTCCTGATGCAATTTTTTTTTTTTTTTTTTTAAATTTAATTTTTTTTAAAAATTATTTTTTTTTTTTTTGTTTTTTTTTTTTTTTTATTTTTTTTTGGGGAATTATATTTTTTTTTTTTTTTTTTTTTGTTTTTTTTTTAAATTTGAAGAATTTTTGGGAACCCCCTTTGGATATTCTTCAAAAAAAAAAATCAAAAAAAAATAAATTTTCAAAAACTGTACAATAATTTATCACCAAGTTGGAATACATTAAATAATCTCTTACACATGCTGCCAGAATAAGAACTAGAACCATGTTTCTAGCTAGTATGCATATGTTCAACTGTCAAACATTAGTTTGATTAGAGATAATTATTAGGGACCGAGCCATCCACCGCTGGAGGCCCCTATTGTATTTGTTATGTTTCTTATTATTATTTTTAGCCCCCTTTGACTGCATTTTTGCCCCCCTGAACATATACGAAAACTCAATTTTATTTGGCAAAATTGTCAGGCCTGGTGAAAACGGGCATATTCTATGCGTCGTTTTCGGGTTGGCCACTAGGTGGCGCTACTATCATAAAAAATGCGCTTAGGCTAATAACTTCTGCATAGTTCGTCGCACATTCAAAAACCTTATATCCACGCGTTCGGTGAATAGAGCTGAATCTTCCGATATAGGCCACGCCCACTTCCGCCTAGAATTTTTCTCCGCTAGAGCGCGAAATGTTCATAAACTACTCTTCCGTGTTCCCCCCATGCGCTTTGTCTGATTCGCACAAAATTTTTCACGCAGCATCTGAGGACCCTCATAATAAAAAAGTGATTAAAAGAATTTTGATATTTCAAAAAACCAGCACGTTATAAAATTAGTACTTCCTGTGAATTTTTTGTCAAAAAAGGAAGTGGACCATTTCTCCACATTGGTATGTCTGATTGAAACCAAGCTTGAGTCCATAGTTCCACATGTCTTCCTTAGGCATCTTGCACAGTTTCAGGCCATCGCCACCATTTTGATTTTGATTTTCACTTTTGGCGAACTTTTCGCATTGTATTTGAATGAACTCCTCCTAGGAAATTTATCGGATCTGCTTCAAAATTTGTGAGTACACTCAAAAAATGGTGCTCATTAAAAGTTGTGCTATTTGAGACTGTACGTTGAACGGCGTGTCTGTGGCATCTTGTCGATTTTGAATTCTGTCGTCCTACAAACTGATTGAAAAGTTGAGCTGTGACTGTACATCAAACCGCGTGCCAGTGACAGTGTCCTCATAACTTCAGCTTACGTGGTCCAATCTTAATGAAACTTCACGTGTTTGATAACATTCTCGCCTTGAACATGTCTACATGACAACATTCAGACATAGTGATAGCACCACCTCTGGCAACAGGAAGTAAGAGCTGCGTGCGATTTTGAGCTAATTTACGTGAGATTTTCATGTTTTGGTCCGCACGTGTTACGAAGAGGGCTGCAGCATGCCCGAGTTGCGCCGAACGCTGCTTGCAGCTTTAATTTTGAGATTGTTTTTCAAAATTAGCAATTCAATATTTAAATCTTTTAAATCTGAAATATGTTCAAAATTTAATGTATGCTAAAATAAAAAAAAACATTAAAGCTGCAAGCAGCGTTGGGTGGGACCTCGCACTCCACGCAACTCGGGGCATGCTGCAGCCCACGTCGCGTGCCGACGTTACACGTGCGGCCCACATCATGAAAATCTCACGTAAATTAGCTCAAAATCGCCACACAGCTCTTACTTCCTGTTGCCAGTAGGTGGCGCTATCACTATGTCTGAATGTTGTCACGTAGACATGTTCAGGGCGGGACTGTTGTAACACACGTGAAGTTTCATTGAGATTGGACCACGTACGCTGAAGTTATGAGGACGTGTTCAGGGCGAGACTGTTACAGAATATATGAAGTTTATTGGAGATTGGACATTGCACACTGAAGTTATGAGTGCTGTTTTGTGGCGAATCCGGTGAATTCGACAAATCGTCACTGGCACGGTCATTTCACGTAACTCAGCTCAAAATCGCTGTGCAGGGCTTACTTCCTATTGCCAGTAGGTGGCGCTATCACTATGTCTGAATATTGTCTTGTACACGTGTTCAGGGCGGGACTGTTATCAAGCATTTGAAGTGTGGAGCCGATTGGACAATGTACACTCAAGTTATAGTGAATTCGTGTTTTGTGGCGGTACATCAAAATTTCCCGCCACCCCACACACCAATCAGCTATAGCATTATGAGCACTGACAGTGAATAACACTGATTATCTGGTTATCAGGGCTCCTGTCAGTGGGGGGGGGGTATATCAGGCAGACAGTGAACATTTGGTCCTCAGAGTTGAAGTGTTAGAATCAGAAAAAATGTGCAGCGTGAGGATCTGAGTGACTTTGACAAGAACCACATTGTGATGGACGACTGGGTCAGAACATCTGGAGAGGTGTCAGTTAGACCTCCAGTGTACTGCTGATGTGCCCCTGAGCAAGGCACCCAACCCCTAACTGCTCACAGTGTCCCTACATGGCAGCCCATCACTCCACCATCTCTCCACATTTGCATGTCTATAAGCCCTCCATATGCATGATTTTATTTCAGGCCAGTGTGTAAAGTAAGAGTGAAAAAGAATTTCCCCATTGGGGATTAATAAAGTATATCTTCTTCTTCTTAATGTGGCTGATCGGTGTATATATATTGCTCTCTCTCTCTCTCAGTTGGGCAGGTGGCTTTCTCAGCCTCTCTGTTGGCTACAGGCAGCGGACATGTCGGACCCTTTCCCAAACAAACTACTCTGATCTTCAAACATGTCCCCACAAACATTGGAAAGGCCTACAACCCACACACAGGTACCTGAACTCTGTTATTTTTACCTATGCTGATGTCTAATGTTGCAACAGTTGAATTTTCATTTACAAAGACTAAAAACAAATGTTCAACAGGTATTTTCACTGCACCAGTGAGAGGAGCCTACCACTTCGAGTGGTACATAGGAACACATGGAGGTGCTCAAGCTTCAGGAGCTGTGTTGGTCAAGAACTCAGAACACATTTTTATTGCATGGGAACATCAACCATCCCATTATGGGTCTTCTGCTAATGGGGTTACACTGCTGCTAGAGGTTGGAGATGTTGTGTTTCTGCGTCTGTGGGTTAATACAAAGGTGTTTGATAATAGTAATCACCATACCACCTTCAGTGG